CATTGAATATATTCAAAGAACTGTTTCAGATACTGCACAGAGGTTAAATTTGTTCCCTTGTGAATTTTTGTATTGTGTTCATGGGCCTGGTTCATAAAGTTGATCTACTTCTCTATATGTAGCCAAAAATTCTGAAGCAGAAAGCACCTCTAAACAGAAAACTGAAGAGACTACTAAAAAGAAAAATGAAGAGACTAAAAAGTGAGTTTTATGCCTACATTGTTCTAGCTAACTGACTCTTGTTGGATTAGGCTTGTTCTTCTAGGACTTCATGCTGAAACTAAGTTACAGCTAAGCTGAAGGCTACTTGAGCCCCTTGTCTGTGTAGTGGCCCTATGCTTCACAAAGACAACATAAAACTCTAGGAAAGCTTCCCTTGACCTGATAATTCTCAGGAACAGGGACTTCCTGTAATCTAAAGAAAACATTTGGCTAAATGAGTAATAGTTCTTTCCATGAGAGAACACTGGTAGGCACTGCTTCAATCACAAGGTGTGCAGTTGAAAACAAAGCCTCCTTCATATGTATAAGAGATGAGCCTAAGGATGAAGTTAGACTTATAGTATGGCTACCTTAAACAATTCTGACATGCGCTAGTGATATGTCTTTAAGTGTATTGAAACGAGCCTGGCTTGGTATGTATAGTCTTGATTTTGTAGTAGTGTGGTTGATGTTAGTATTTCTGTGCCTAAGCTCTAGGAAGGAAGAGAAGAGCTTTCAGAACTTTTGAAAAGAAAGCTTCAATGAATATTTTATCCTCTTGATCTTATCTTAAAGACTAAAAAAATCTAGTTTGGATCACTACTAAGTATCTACTGAACAGGAACATTACAGATTGTAAACCTAGGAGTCAAAGCCCACACAAATATCTAGCTCTTGTAACTTTCTCTTTCCTCTTGCAGAAGGCAATGGTCTCTTGATGACTTTGAAATTGGTCGTCCTCTGGGGAAAGGAAAATTTGGAAATGTGTACCTGGCACGTGAAAAGCAGAGTAAATTTATCCTTGCATTGAAAGTGCTCTTTAAAACACAACTTGAGGAAGCTGGTGTAGAACATCAACTACGAAGAGAAGTTGAAATCCAGTCTCACCTTAGGTAAAGTTTAGTGACCAGTTACACTCTTTGCTTTGTGTGCAAATAAACAAAATAACCTTGTTTATGATAACGTACCCTGTTGAAGAAAATGGAAGTTTCTTTTTAAACACAGTACCTTGAAATTGCTAGTTAGAATTCTTGTCTTTTTGCACCAAGATTTACCTTTGTCTACCTTGCGATGAGGTAACCTCCAGTGACAAATCTTCCTATTACAAAAAAAGCACAACAACAACCTCTTGTCTGCTGCTTGGTGGGTAACGGCAATTTCTCAAGAGTCAGAACTTGTTTCTGGTATTTTGCTTCCTGGAAAATAAGCCAAATTTGCTGAAGAAATTAGTTTTCACAGAAAGTGTTTAAAGTGTTTAAGCTTAACTTCCCAAACTCATAGGAACTGGCACCTTCAATGGTGATCTACTCTTCCAGCTGCTGTAGAAAAGTATGTTCAAGAAGATAGGAATTAGCCAAAGTCTTGGCTAGCTGCTTGCTGGTAGGGAGTCTAAACTGCTGCTTTGATTAAAACACCATCTATCTGGTATGAAGTTCTCTTAATGGATATGTTGTATGAGATGAAGGAACGCTTAAAAGATGTTGAAGTTCCTATGCTTGCCTTGAAAGCGGGGAGGCAGTAAAGGGAAACTAGTTATATGGACAAATACCTTGTTCAGAAGAATACTTAAATCTCTTTGCAGGCACCCCAACATTCTCAGATTATATGGCTACTTCCATGATGTTACAAGAGTCTACCTTATTCTAGAGTATGCACCTCGTGGAGAAGTCTACAAAGAACTTCAGAAGCTTACCAAGTTTGATGAACAAAGAACTGCTACTGTAGGTTGTTCTAGCTTCTTATACATTACTTGTTCCTCATATCTGGAATACGTGCAGCATAAAGCTAGATCTTCAGATAAAGTTCTGTGTTCTGTTGTGTGAAACTGAGATTCTTCAGATGCTACTACGTTCAGCATTGCTTAATACTGGAAGTGCTTGGTCACTTCAGGCGGAGCCTGTATTGCCAGACTTCAAGGGTTTAAGAAATAATTGCTCTAACTTAAAACTACCAATTATGCCTAGAAAAGGCTATACTGTAGCCAGGTTAAGATAAAGCAACAATGTCTTTATACTTTAAAGATTTGTTTTCTTTCTCAATACAGTATATCACAGAACTAGCAGATGCCTTATCATACTGTCATTCAAAGAGTGTGATTCACCGAGACATCAAGCCAGAAAATTTGCTGCTTGGCTCAAATGGAGAATTAAAAATTGCTGACTTTGGATGGTCTGTACATGCTCCATCTTCTAGGTAAGAATGCAATATATATCTTATGCAATGAAATAATTCTGTAGTCAAAATGTTATCTTTCTTGTCACACTTATAGTTGTGGAATGGAAGTAAATGTGAACTACCTAAAATACTGTGGAAAAAAAAATTATTTAAGCACTGGGCCACTGCAGCAAAGGTCTTAATAGGCAACTGGTATGGTGGAGAGGAATGTTGTTATCCCTTTTTTTTTTAACTTTGTATAGTTGAAAACTTGCTCAACCTGAAACAAGTGAAGTTTGAAGTTTGTAAGGTTATAGTGGTCCCTGAGATGACAGACCAGCACTTGTGTTCAAATATCACGCTAGCAATATACTTGAGACATTTCTTCAGTTAGTCTGAATTGCACCTGACAAAAGACTCTATTTGGCCTAGCAAGTGGGATGAAATGGAAATATGAGACTGAAGGCAGTTGACTGAGATGCTTTAAAGCACAAATAGAAAATTTACTGCTGGCTGTTCTTTACCAGGTATTCTGGTGCTGCTGAGTCTATCCAGGTCTGACTGCACCAAGGTACAGATGATTGCCAGCTTGAAATGGATCTTGTAATGGATCTTGTAATTGCCATAATCAGTAAATGATTAACTTGGACTATTTCAGGAGAACAACTCTCTGTGGGACACTTGACTATCTGCCTCCTGAAATGATTGAGGGAAGAACACATGATGAAAAAGTGGATATTTGGAGTCTGGGAGTTCTGTGCTATGAATTCCTTGTAGGGAAACCACCTTTTGAAGCAGCAACATACCAGGAAACCTACAGAGCTATTTCCAGGGTATGTGCCAACACTTTAGACTAGCTGGAATGTGTTGCCTTTCAGTTCTTATTGTCTTATTGAAGCTTAACAAATGGTCATTTTGAAGGGCATGTATTATATCTAGAACTGTAGCAAGACATAATGATATGCATAAAACTAGATCACTAAAACTGTCTTCAGTAGAATGACTAGAAGAGACTGTGAGATACCTTGCCTTATTTCCTTGGGTCTACCCTGTTTCTGCCTGCATCTGAACTTCTACCTCTTCATAAAATAACTAATCTTTTCCACATCTCTCCTTTTCTAATTTATAAAATGAATATTTAACATTTAAGATTTTACTAAAAACACGTAAGCTTAACTTTTCCTGTTGCATACCCTAGAAAGGTTCCAGCAAACTAATCTTGTTTGAAGTACATTGAAAAATACACTAGCTTAACTTCTACAAGCAGTGAGAACCTTGTTTTCTTCAGGATTAGGATGCATTTACTTCATCTCAACAGGCATAAGGCTCATACAGCTCTCCTTTCTAGATCTACCTTGGAGGGTAGAGCCTTTTGTCTCTAGTTTGGTTATTGTGGAAGAACTTTTGCATCATCTTTAGTGTCCTTTGTTTTCCTTAGGTGGAATTCAGGTTTCCTCCATTTGTAACAGAAGGTGCAAGAGATTTAATTTCAAAGCTTCTGAAGCATAACCCATTCCAACGACTGCCTCTGAAGGATGTACTTCTTCATCCCTGGATCACAGCAAACTCAACAAAGATGCCCAACAGCAGAAAGAGTGATGTTGCTGCCCCATCCAGAACATAGTCTTAGCAGGGGCTAACCTCATAGGATCAACAAGAGGAGTCTTGTACTGTGACTACTGTAATGCTTACAATAGAAAAAGCAGTTCGTGGAATCTAATGGCAATTGGAATGCAAATCTTGGGGTCTGCTGTCCTAAACTCTAATTGCAATGTAAAATTAATGGCTGTTTTAGCTGGAAGTTGGGGAATACTTCATATACTTGAAATACAGTTACATTGTTGATGTAAGTATTAAGCTGTTCAAGGCTCCTATGATGTGGTCTGTCCTGGTAATGGTTCGTGTGCCAACAACAAGGTGGTGGTTGTTCTAGCGTGCTACACAGTGCAATATCCTGGAGATACCTGCCCCCTAATTTATTGGGCTGCTGAGGGTATCATAACTGTGGTGTAATCTGAACTGAGTGAGGTGAATTTCTCCATGTGTCCTAAAAATGATGTGTGCATTATTTTTGTCTCAATTTTGTCTTAAATACTTTTAAAATAAAGACTTGTTATATATTGCCACCAGCATGGTAAGGTTCCTTATGGCATTATCACTTCCACTGGCTGTCTCTAACTGCTTATCTTTACCACTGGTACAGCTTGACTCCTTGTCTATGATAACAAAATAAGTTTATTTCCCACTTCTGTCAAAGGAAGTTGGTATAAAGTTCCTGCTCAAAGTGCTGGTACCACAAACTAAGTGTGATTATTTACTATTCTACAATCACAGCACAAGTTTACAAGGTAAGTACCAAATGTGTTGCTATTGACCTTGTGGGTTTTCTACAACCATTGAAAGAGGTCTGCTTATTCCTTTTTTAATGCAGTTATTCAAAGACAACATGGTCTGAAAGCACTTCTAAGATAGAAGTCGGGAAAGTGGTCTGAAAGCACTTCTAAGATAGAAGTCGGGAAAGTATTGTTATCAAATAAGATGTGTAACAGGGACTAATCTTAACATCTTGTGTTATAAGATGTTATTCCCCAAAATGTAGCATCGAAAATCCAAGCCAACTCTTTTCCAATAAAACACTTCAAGCAAACTAAGAGAAAGCAATTTATTATATTTTCATTATAAGACTTTAAGGTCATCTTTACTATTTTACAAACCATTTAAAAAAATGATCATTTTACAAGTCAAGGATTCTAGAATTCAAAATATATTCTCAAAATGTACCTTGCAAAAAAACTTCATCTAACATTGCCAGTAGTTTATACAACCATATTTATCTTAATAGGTAATCTGATTTCTGGTCATAATTTAAATGAAGCTGTGTTTCTTTACTGCAAGAAAATGTCTAGTTAGTGCTGGTGACTTTTATTAACTTTTAGGTGCATTAGCTTTAAATTATTCCTGCTTTATGAAAAGTTTTTTTGAAAGAAAAAGCTTGAATATTCCTTTTTTTTTTTTAGCAATTTAAGGATAGAACTTAATTATCAGAACTGATGTTTAAATGAAGAAAATAACTATTCTGGAACTCTTCTATTATCTGTAGTAATAGAGCATTGACCTGAACTGCTATGGAGAGGGCATGTAATAAAAAAACACATGCTTCTCTGAACAGGAAAGAAAGCTGAAATAAAGCTTAAGAAATATTGACTGCTCACTTGAAATTAACTCTAGCTGTTCTGGAATGTAGTAGTTCATAGAAAGCTCCAGCAGTGCTGGTTCTATGTTGTCATACCATAGTAACCCTTCAACTGCTGTGACAATAGTACAGTTGTTACCTGTTAAACAGTGGGTAGTAAGCTTCCATCTACATAACAGGTATAATAATCACACAGGTTAGGCAATGGGAAAGGCAGAGCTTCATTGAAACTTAAGCTCTAGAGCTGGCTCAGATAGCAGCAAGTTGGACAAACTGCCAGCTTCTCCAGCCATACTGCAAAGCAAGCATGAAACAGGAAAAAATCCAGTCTTTTTTTTAAATAAGCAGCTAGTCAAAATGAACTTGACAGCCATTCTTGTAGCACTCATGGGTACAGGGAACAGGAGACCATTGGCTCCATGTTCTTACAAGCAAGCCAAGCAGCTGTGCATGGTAAGTTCTGTCAGTAACAGCTTACAGCAAGGCAAGTTCTCTGTACACCCTGCTCCTAAGGCTGGTATTTCGGGCACTGTTTAACTATGTAATGCATCTTTACATATGTCATGTATGGTTACATTTGTATTGTACATCAACCCTCTAGCAGGGGTACCTGCTCACTGCTGCAACTGTTTCCAGCTGAAGATGCCAAACCCTCACTTAGGCTAACAGCACAGCCCTGCTGAGACCAAGCCCTTGTCAAGGTTTCCAGGTGGCAGTCTCTAATATCAGCTTCCTTGCACAGGGCAGATGAAGGAAAATACCTCTCCCAGTCTTCCCTCTGAGAGAAAACCTCTGATTAACCAAGAGGTAGCAATAACAGAGGTATAAGAACAGATGTGGCCATGACTCCTATTCCTAGAGCACAAATGCTGCTTGCTCACTTGTGAGCCTGAGAATCCTCAGTGCCTCCCCCTCAGCCTATGGGTTGGACTGTCTGACTGGGAAAGGAGTTAGGGTACAATTTAATGTTATGGCTGAATGGAGTTCATAGGTTGCTCATAACAAAAAGAAATTAATTGCTCTTCCTTCCCTCCCTCAGCCAACTTTCAACCTAACCCCATGAGTCCTTCCTCAATTCACTAAATTTTAGCAAAAAAAAACGAATAAACCAACCCACCAAAACAAACACCCAACTGATCAGCAGGGTACCTTCCTGCTATTTAAATTAATCAAATTCCTGTATGAACAGATCTGTCTGAGACACCTTGGGGTAAGTGTAAGCAGAGAAAGGTAATGTAAAAAGAACAGGCCTGGAATGAGAACTAGGTCCAAAAGACTGATAAATCTGGCTTGAGCTGCCTTGCAGAAGCACATTCTTAAGCCTGAAACCCAGGTTTGGCACAGAATGTCACACTGACTACCTAGTTTTGGGATCCAGTCTTAAGGTTAACTGAAAGGTGGTATGCATATATATGCATGTGCAACTACATTCTAATAGGAATAGTGTCCCAATAAAGAAATGAAAAGCACCTTTAGCTGGTACATTCAACAGTCTGCCAGAGGCACAGGAATTGCTCTTGAGAAGTTATGAATTGTAATGTCCAGATTTCAGGTGCAGATTTGACTTTCATCCACAGAAGCAGAAAGCTGCTAGGGTTAGTTTTCAGAAAAAAAAAGTTTATCCAGTACAAAGCAATACATTAAAAACCCACAGATACCTTGCCTCTGACTTGATTATCTTTGGAATTTGTTCAAATAAGAGGTAATTCTGGTTACACTGATTTCAGTAGGCTCAGGATTCCTTCTGAGTCTACAAGTATAAAACACACAAAAAAAAGACTTCAGTAAAGTCAGTTCCTAACCTATAAATAAAGCACATTTTCAAAAAATAAAATCTTGAAACATGGAAGCACCACAAAGGAGCTGTAGTTTCAGAACAGTGCAACACCTATTCTGGCTAAAACAATTATCACTGTGCAATACTTAAGCATCTGGGTATTCCCACTTAAGTTAGTTCAGCATGTGTGTTGTACTGCAAGATTGGGGTCATAATATACGCCTTTTGTTATAAAAGACATACCCACCTACCACCTTAGATTCCAATATATACATTTACCAAAAGAACTATTCATATAGTAGGATATTGTTTATTCCACAGACTATTAGCAAGAGATTATCTGCTTCTCAGCTACACAGTAATAAACTAATGCTGCCAGTCTATTTTGACAAGAAAAAATTAAGGCCCAAAAAGCTAGATTATAAAGACCCAGAACTGTGTGTTCTAAAGAGACTGCTCATCATCAAGCATTTATATTACCATTTGCAGTGCAAATCAGATACCATTTTAACAGGTTTTTCTAGAGAAGAGGTGGCAGAAGGGAAAGAAGGTAAGGACAGCACTTTTCACAGTGTAACATTTACCTGAAAGAACAAGTAAGAAATTCAAGAGGAGGTCAGCATTAACATGAATCCAAATAAGTCTTTTAAAGAAATTTAGCAATCTAAAAAGCTACATGGATATAGAGCATTTCAAAAAAACAGTAAAAACCAGTGAAGAATCCTCATCATGGATTTGAGGCAGGAGGTTTGAAGAAACCAATCTTCCGGCAGTATCGGACAATAAATGGCACAGAAACTATAGTAATGCTGATTCGTACTGGAGCAAACAATTTGTGAATAGCATATGCCAGCACAAATGTGCTTGTACCAGCAGCCATTTTAGATTGCAACGATGATTCACTGAAACCAAGTTTGAGGAGAACTGCAGTCATATCGACACCACTAGGGAAAAAGAAAACAAGATTTCTGTAGTTTATTTTAAGGTTGCACGCTAAAAAATAAAGTGCTATTTTTTCAGGGAATTTAACCTAGCACACTTCCAACTCTGGAAATTATGTTCAAATTGTATGTTGTTAAATAATAAAAACAATTAATTATTTCATCAGTAACAGCTTAAGTTACTTCTGTAGCAACAACACGTGCAGTATTTTCAGATGCATTTTTCTTAAATTGAGAAGTTCCCTGTGAAATCAAGTATGTTCTTAGTTTTACAACTGCATAGCTACAACATGTACATGGAGAATACTCTGCCACATGCTCAGCCTTCAGAGATAAAATAATCTGTATCTCTACTTTTGAATTTTAAAAAAGTTAGAAATTTGTGAATCTGCTGTAAATGTTGGGAAGATGAATTTCCAATAAATCCTATTCTGTGTCTTGATAAAATGTATCACCTAAATATAGATCAACCCAAACCAAATAAGGTACCCATTGCTAGGCTCAGTGTTCTAACAGAGTACAAAGCTGTTAAAAAGACAAGTATCTAAAAATCTATCAAGTGAAGGAAGCATTACAGATCTCAAATAAGCATTATCCACTAAATCCATTAATATATTAATTCTCTACAGACATAACAGCTTTCAAAGTTCCTACATTTGGAGCAATTTTCCAAAAGAAGTTGTTACTGTAGTTTTTTCCTCCCTTCACTTGCCAGTATAGTATCTTGTAACTGGGAGTTAAATCATAACTGAAGGAAAAAATTTTCAATGTCACCTGTGCCACGACATAGTAAACAAGAGAAATCAGGCATTCACATATTCCCACTGAAGTCGAGAGTAAGTGGCAGGGAATGTTTTGAGAAACAATGTGTTTCCCTAACTCCTCAGTTGAAATACCTCATGCTCAACAGACATATTTATAAATGATGCATTCCCACCAGAAGCCACATATACAATTTCCCACCTGACTCCCGTATGGTTATCTAGTATTCTCTTTTTCAGTCTAATCCTGTTTTAGTGGCCGTTGCCTTCTGCAGTTCGACTGCAGAAACTGAGTTCAACACCCAGCATGATAAATGTATCTCTAGGCTCCAGCACTTTTGTATCGCTTTATCTCTACAGACCATACTACTGTTTGAGAACAAAAGATATTTCTGCAGAATAAAAATAAATTCTCTCAACTGGTGACTCACTCTAGTGCAGTCTCTACTCTGTTGTTTTCACTTGCCCACCATGGATCATGAACATATGCAAAAAGACCGTGTACATCTATCTTCCTTCATGCCTGGTAGGAGATGACACATTTATGGATCAATCTATAGTCAAAATTCCGAAGATTACTGTGTATAGACCAAATAGGCATAGAGTACATGTCTCCTTCCAGAAATAAGCACGACTGTAAGATACTTTCCTTGGCTAAAACAACACCTAGAGGCTACAGACAACTGTACAAACCTCACCTTGACACAGCCAGGTAGAAGATTCCTAGAGATACTAATGAAATTCCAACATGGAATGAAACCCCTATAGCACCATATTCTTTAAAAACTTGTTTCAGCTGCTGGGTTTTGTTGAGTTTCTTATTTTCACCACTGGGATCTGTGGCTGTCTTTTCAGGGGATCCACCTGCATGCTAAAAAGAAAACAACCAGGAGTACTGATTAGGATTAAGCACCATATATATATTCCAGTCAGTTGAACTAGTCTGAAATAATGAAGGAAGTGGCTTGCATACAGTGCTGTTCAGAATGCTTTGGGAAGATAGTAACACACTTTTGCTCTTTCACATCAGGATGGCAGATGCCTGTGGCAGCACCCACGCAAGCTCCCTCTTCCCATCTGTTCATATCAAAGGGCTGCACCGATCTTGGTGTAAATTCTTACACAGTGCAAGTTTCATAATTAAAAAGTTATTATAATCCCAGTCTTCCACTTGATCCAAATGTGTGCCAAGGCACGCAGACACAGCTGCTTGAGATGAGACTGAGGTGCCAAAGAGATCTTTGCTTACATCCACTGCTCGGCTTTGTGCAGTGAATTCTTGTCACAAAGCTTTTTGTTAAAGGGCTAAGCAGCTGATGGCACTGGAAGACGACATGATACCACTCTGATGCTGGCTTACTAACAACTTACTGACAGAAGAGGTCCAACATTTAAGTTCCTATAAATCAAGCTCTGTAGATCAGCTGAAAAAAGGAAGAACCAGGGAACTGCTACTGTTGACAGCAACAAGTAATACTGTTGCCATGATGTAGAGAATAGCTACACACACCTGCCAGTGCTGGTGTAAGTAGCAGAAGTTAGCTGAAAATGTTTGTCATAGTAAATTTATTGATAGCTTTTTATTTGAGTAAATGTAAAGTGCAGAACTTCATACTAAAATACCCCAAAGCAATATGATAGCGCGATGCAGACAAAGAAGGGCAGATATGCTGCTAGTAGTAAGACAGCCCTTGGATACCTCCTCATACTTGCCATAGAAGAAATACTAACTGGAGAAAAAAAAAAAACGTTTCCACAAAGACCTCAGGATTTTTCTCTAATTAGCGAGCAATTGTCAGGAAAGATTAGAAGAGCCCTTTCTTTTCAGCTGAATTCAATAGCAGTCATGACAATATAACAGCCAGACTAAAGGCCAGTGCTGCCCACAGGACAGGTACAGCTACTAAGTGCCTGGCACCACTCTGTCCTACCATAGATCAGTTTCAAGGCACACAAAGTAGAACACTTTTGATTAATCCTTGGATTTGGCGAGATTGTAAATTAGGATACAAGACAGGCTCCTCTTACAACACTTATGGTATGATGAACTCGCTTTAATCAGTGATTTTAGCCATACCAACCACACCATCTCCTCCCAACTCCCCAAGAGACTGTTTGTTGCTGTTTTTTCAATTGTAATTTGTGTTACTTTGTATTTCATTTCAACAGGAAATCACATTTATCCATAAAGATATACTTAGGCACTAGTGTAGCTCAACTTATTCTGATTCTTATATTTAAAAAAATTTCAAATGTAATGGATAATTTTAGATTTTTTTTTTTTGGCTCATGAGCCAAAGCGATATTTGACTACAATCTGAAACTTGACTAAGAAAGAAAAATGCCCAGTAGAAAAATAAATCCTTTAGTGCTTAAAGCAAGCAGTTTTACTACCAGAAGGTAAATAAGGAAAAAAAATGTTCAAATATGTATTTTTTTAAGCAACCTCATTAAGCAAAAGAATGGATTCATTGTTAGATAATCTAATTACTTTCAGCCACTGAAAATAATTAGATTCTGTACATGGCTACTACCTCACCATGTTTCAGAACTCATTCTTTTACTCTTTAGTTTTCTTATAGGAAAAGGGGGACTGGGGGGAGGAGGGAAGAATGCTGTTTTATCTCTCAGTCTGTAAAACTGAAATACTGAGTTATTGAATAGAACTGGCTGAATAAACTGAACAAAATAGTCCATTAATACCTTCTGCCAAAAACTGTCCTAACAATTCAATCAACATCACATGCTTAGTCAAGAATACTTATTTATTCAACCATAATTTTCTTAAAAGCCAAGCACGGTTTGAATGGTAATTTAAGATTTAATAGTTTATATTGATTTTTTCATCCAAATACGATCATTATCTATTTAAGGAGCCAAACATGAAGAGTTTCTTCAGATAGCTGCAGTGAAAACAGGAGCTAAGAATCTACAGAGATACATAAGCCTCAGAGGAACTCTAGGTATTACAGCTACATGCTTGCAAGATGGATCATAAGGACTGAGAAATAGCTTGTTCTCATCATCCACTCATGTTCTCAGGCTCACATGCCAGACAATTTCTGAATGGCATTGATGCTAGATGTTAGAAAAGTACCACTTCAACACATATTATTGGGACTACACAGTATGGTCATGTCCTGAATAAGGCACAACTTAGCAAGCAAAGCTACCTATTTTCCATATAATTCTGCTACAATATTTCTGCTAGAAAGCCAATTTTATTCTCATCATTTAGGCAAAGATTCAGCTTCTTGATGAACTAAGGCATGACAACAAATCTGAAACATCATGTTATGTTTTGTAATGAGACTACAGAAATTAACCTGAAATTTAAGCTATAGAAATAAAACTGTAAACGAAGCTTTGTATGGAAAGCTCACATTCACAATTTCGGCACAAACTGGTTTAAAGCAGATCCCCATCTCCTGCAGAAGCCCAGCATAAACATGATTTAAAAGTCTACTGCAGTGTAAAAAAACAGTTACACACGAGGCCTTCATTTGCTTTGCTCCCCGAGTCAATTAAAATTTAGAAACGGAACAATGAATGTTACAAATTCATAAAAACTCCCCCTCCCCGTCATCTCCAAAAAAAAAAAAACCAACTGAACGGTGAAAGCAGTGAAACACATTAATTAACCGGGTGCACGTCCGTGTTTTCTCTCCCAGCTAAGCACAAGGCGCAGCCGGGCACGGGCCGCCCCCTCGCCCCCCACTGCCATTCTTGGGGCTGCAACACAAGGCACTTTCAGAAAACCCTTTCAGCCATCACCACCACGCTCACCTGGGCTTCTGTATTTGTGCGAATTACTGAACACACCCCCTCTCCCCCCCTTTTTTTTTTTTTTTTTTTTTTCATCCTTCATGACTCATCTGAAGTGCTTAAACCTGCAGCCCCCATGGAAAAACACACACACGCCCCCCCGAGGTGTCGGCTAAATTCCTAATCTTGAGGACACCCCCACAAGCTGGAAAACACTTCCAGGCCAGGACAGCTTGTGCTTTAATCATAGCTACGACCCGCTCCCCACACCTAGATCTCTCCCTCCAGAGGCGGGCCCTGCGGCCGCGCTGCCCCCTCACCCCCCCCCCCCCCCCCCCCCCGTGTGTGTGTGTGTGTGTGTGTGTTTGTGTCTGTGTGTCTGTGTGTGTGTGTTGTTTCCAGACCGTTCTCCGCCCCCCCCGCACGTACCTTGGCAGAGCTGCCGGCGGCGGATCGCAGCGTTAGCAGGGGGCGCGGCGGGCCGAGGCCGGCCCGGGCCAGGCGGGGACCGCAGCGCACGGCGAGCGGGCCCAGCCGGAACATTGCAACGGCGCGGCCCCGGCTCTGTGCGGCCAGGCCTGGCGAACCCCGCCCCCGCCCGCCAGCGGCGGGCGCCCTCCTTCTTAAAGGGGCAAGACAGGAGCTGCCAGGGGTGAGCTGCAAGACGGCAGCTGCAGGGGGTGAGCGGCCCCTTTAAGGAGGAGGGCGCCCGCCGCCGGGCGGTCGCGGGTGGTGCCGCCCGCCGGCGGGAAGCCAGCGAGCGCTGCGCGCTTGTGGGCTGAGGGGAAGAAGTCTCTGAGGGGGGAAAGTTTCTGAGGGCGGTGTGAGGCCGCTCCCGGCCCCGTCTTGGCTGGGTAAACCCCCTTCAGCGCCCTTCTGGAGGGAGCTGTGGGAGCGTGAGCACAGCAGCTCTCCGATGGGGCCTTCCGAGTAGCTCGTTAAAGGGGAGAATTGTCTTTTCAGTCCCCTCGGCGGTGTTTCTTAAGCTGGAGGGAAAGTGATGCCTATCGTTTTTCAGAGTTGTGGGTTAACCCTGGTTGGATTCCAGGTGTCCATCAAAGCCACTATATCACTCCTCCTCCGAAGCTGGACAAGGGAGAGAAAATGTAACATGGGTTGAGATAAGGATAAGGAGATCACAATTACCATGATGGGCAAGACAGACTTGACTTGAGGGGATTAAAAAAAAAAAAAAAATAGTCATTTATTACTAGTCAAATCAGGGTAGGATAATGAGAAATAAACCCAAATCTTAAAGCATAACCTCTCTTCTTTCTGGGTTCAAATGTACTGACTTTCCCTACCTCCTCCCTGCCAGCGGCACAAGGGGACAGGGGATGGAGGGTACAGGATGTTCGCCACCTGTTTATGCTGCTCCTTCCTCCTCAAAGGGATGATGGCTCACACTTTCTCTGCTTCACCATGGGGTCTCTCCCATAGGAGACAGTTCACCATGAACTTCTCCAACGTGGGTCCTTCCCAGACTGCAGCTCTTCACGAATGGTTCCAGCATGGTTCCCTCCCACAGGGTGCAATCCTTCAGGAATAGTCTGCTCCAGCGCTGGTCTTCTGCAGGGTCACAAATCCTGCCAGCAAACCTGCTGCAGTGTGGGCTCCTCTCTCTCCAGGGCCACAGGTCCTGCCAGGACCCTGCTCCAGCACAGGGTGACAACCTCCTTCAGGCACCCACCTGCTCCAGCATGGGGTCCTCCACGGGCTGCAGGTGGAGATCTGCTCCACCATTAACCTCCACGGGCTGCAGGGCACAGCCTGCCTCAACATGATCTTCACCATGGGCTGCAGGGGAATCTGCTCTGGTGCCTGGAGCATTCCTCCTTCTTCACTGACTGTGGTGACTGCAGAATTGTTTCTCTCATGTATTGTCACTCCTCTGGCTGCAGTTTCCATTGTGCAGGGTTTTTTTTCCCCCCTTCTTAAATATGTTATTGTAGAGGTGCTACGGCCATTGTTGACGGGCTTGGCCTTGGCCAGCAACAGGTCTGTCTTGGAGCTGTCTGGCATTGATTCTATCGGACTTAGGGGAAGCTTCTAGCAGCTTCTCACAAAAGCCCCCCTGTAGCCCCCACTGCCAAAACCTTGCCGTACAAACCTAATACAAGTGTGCTCCCAAAGTCTGCACGTATGTTAGAGTGGAGAGGTGGTTAAAGTGTTATCACCGCTGCAGTTCTGGTGCATGGGCTTGCAGTGCAGGTGGTTTACGTAATTCCTGACTTCACCTTGAAGAGCTCTAGTAATTTGCCAATACTTCATGGTGCAGGGCAGAGTGCAAATGCAGAGCTTTTCCAGACCCAAAAGGTTCATAGCATCTCTGAGACAAGAAGCCTTCAAACAGTGAGAAGGTCTCACATTTACAGCCTTGTTTTTATATTAAAACCACAATAGAAAAAGTAGGCATTAAAAATGCCATTGAAGTATAACGTCACTGTGGGAGAATTGTAGATGCTGTGGAAGTGGGGAGTTACTCCTGGCAGGTGAATCCCAGTGCCTTGGGGAACTCTATTTCCACCAGAAGGGCTTTGGTTGATGGGAAAAATCTGTCCACATTGGATAATTTTCAGGATCAGTGCATAACCGTGGTGATTTCCAGACCTTTTGTTGTGTTTCAACCATTCAATGCTAATGTTACCGAACATCGTTTAATATCTGCAAGTTGACCACTATTCTGGATAGTGCCAAGGCTTTTCATAACTGCAGTCACTGTGGTTTTCTGAAATGGTGGCTTCTTGCCATTACAGACAAGGCTGCTTATTGCCCGAATGGGTAAATATTGCATAACTATATTAATGTACTGAAACAATGCATCTGAATGCTAAGCTCCAGCAATAAAATGCTTCTCTCTTCCTAATTGCAAAGTCTTTCCTCTTCAGGCATATTGTTGTTTTTCTCCAGTGATGTAAGCATACAGGGCTGAGTACAATAGGAGAACTGTGTCAGATAAATAGGAGGTTTTCCTTCCAGAAGAGCTTGCAGTTTAGGAGCACAAGCTGGAACTGCACAGGACAACAGTGAATGGTACAATGCTGAAACGGCATGTTGGGTGGCTCTTGTTAAGTGCAATGCACCACAGAACAGATGGGTTTCAAGGAGCATCTTGGAGGAAGAGTGGGAGGGAGCTTTGCATGCATTAAAATAGAGTCTGCTCTGGGCATAATAAGCAGCACTGCCCATTCTAGAGTTTTACACTTCCTTTTGTTCTTACTTCATAAATCTAGTCTCTCTCTGGATGCTTTGTAGAAAAATAATTTATTGGAACACAATTTCACATATCTATTATGTTGAAGTATTTATTATGTTTATTACTGTTCCAAAGCAATTTGCTAATGTGTTTTCTGTGACTATTTATACACCAGCACCACCTGAGTGGTCAGATGATATTAACATGGCAGTGTTCTAATCATAGCACACTACAATTTTGTCATTTTTTTTCCTGAATTATGAAAAAACCCAGGAGTTAATTCTGATCTCAGTAAAGGAGATGTCAGTCAAGTTCCACTGGTGTGGACCATCACTGGGCTCTGCACACAAACACTGGACGCTTCCATTTGTTTGTCTGGCAGACCCATTCGAGCCACTGCACGGTAGAGAACACATTGGTGCTCTCCTGTGGCATATGTGTTATGCTGCTGCTGGACATCTAGAAATCCTGGGCAAGTGAAGAAAAGAGCAGGAGGTCAGTTAATGAGGCATGAAAGCATTAGGGTTGGCAGTTTTTTGTGTACAGTCTGGCTGTCTGTTGTCTCCAAAATCTCAGAGGGAGATTTTGCTGAGAAGCAGGAAGGAACAATATGATAAACATCAAATGATGATATATGCTCATTGAAAAACAAGCAAACACCCAGGCTTAAGATACTTTAATGTGAAGATAGTTTACAAGTGCAGGGAAAAACACATTAGCTCTATCCTGCTCACTGTAACTAAGGCAAAGGTACATTTTTCAAAGACAGCTCAAGAAATGCTTCCGCATGGACACACATTTGTGTTATCCTGGATATGCAGGTCCCTCTGCAATATGGACAACAACATTTACTCCTTCCATGTCACTATATTCACTTCTCTCTGCCTGCAGTAGTAGGATTTGGGGCCATCTTCCATTTGCAGGTTCTAGCAAGTTGTTATTTACTGCCTGAAATCTTCAGGTGTTGCCAGGACATCTAGAATCTTACCTATAAACCTGGAAGTACAAGTAATCCTGATGGTACAGCTGAAAGGCAATTTGACAAGTAAGAAATTAAATGGAAGACTGATGAGCCTGAGAATTCACTTGTAATTCATAGAATCATAAAATTGTTTAGTTTGGAAAAGACCCTTAAGATCATTGAGTCCAAGTATTAGCTTACAACTACTAATTCCACAACTGAACCACACCCCTAAGCACCACATTTACAGGTCTTTTAAATACCTCCAGGGATGATGACTCAACCACCTCCCTGGGCAGCCTGTTCCAACATTTGATAACCCTTTTGGTGACGAAATTTTTCCTAATATCCAACCTAAACTTTCCCCTGGCACAGCTTGATGCCATTTCCTCTTGTCCTATTGCTTGTTACTTGGGAGAAGAGACTGACCCCCACCTCGCTACACCCTCCTCAAGTAGTTGTAGAGAGCGATTAGGTCTCCCCTGAGCCTCCTTTTCTCCAGGCTAAGCACCCCCAGTTCCCTCAGCTGCTCCTCATCAGACTTGTGCTCCAGACCCTTCACCAGCTCCATTGCCCTTCTCTGGACACGCTCCAGCACCTCAATGTCTTTCTTGCAGCGAGGGGCCCAAAACTGAACACAGTATTCGAGGTGCAGCCTCACCAGTGCCGGGTACAGGGGGACACTCCCTCCCCTAGTACTGCTGGCCACACTATTTCTGATACAAGCCAGGATGCCATTGGCCTCCTTGGCCACCTGGGCACACTGCTGGCTCCTATTCATCTGGCTGTCGACCACCACCCCCAGGTCCTTTTCCTCTGGGCAGCTTTCCAGCCACTCTGCCCCAAGCCTATAACACTGTATGGGGTTGTTGTGACCCACATGCAAGACCCGGCACTCAGCCTTGTTGAACCTCATACAGTTGGCCTCAGCCCATTGATCCAGCCTGTCCAGATCCCCCTGTAGACCCCTTCTACCCTCAAGCAGATCAACACTCCTACCCAACTTGGTGTCATCAGCAAACTTACTGAGGGTGCACTCAATCCCCTTGTCTAGATCATTGATAAAGACATTAAACATCTGACTCTGGTACTGATCCATGGGGAACACCACTTGTGACTGGACACCAACTGGATTGAACTCCATTCACTCTTTTTTTGGTTGGACTGGACTGAACTTCCATTGAACTCTTTGGGCCCAGACATCCAGCTAATTTTTCACTCAGCAAACAGTACACCCATGCAAGCCATGAGCAGCTAGTTTTTCCAGGAGAATGCTGTGGGAAACGGTGTCAAAATCTTTACTAAAGTCCAGGTAGACAACATCCACAGCCTTTCCCTCATCCACTAAACGGGTCACCTTGTCATAACAGGAGATCAGGTTAGTCAAGCAGGACCTGCCTTTCATAAACCCATGTTGAGTGGGCCCGA